GCCAGAGGTAAGTTTTTTTTTGGTTTTTTTTTTTTGGTTTTTTTCCCCAATTTCACCATAGGGCTCTCCCGAATAACAGATTTTGGGCTTCTGAGATTCTACATCTTGATGCCTGTCATTCCTAGTACCAGCTAGTCGACCAAACGTTCTCCTTTGTGTTTTTTCCTCTTCATCATCACACTCAGACCGCATTAAAATTTCTTATATAGCAATTATTAAAAAAATTCGAGCTAGTAAATAATTTAAGAATAAGAAAGTCACTTTCGGCTTTTCCCGTTTAGGGGTCGCCACGTCGAATTGTCACACTGACAACTCACATGTTGACATTTGGCACGTGTTTTACGCCCTTCCTGACGCAACCCCGGTTCGAACCCGGGCTGCAGCGGTTAGGGCGCTGTTTGAAAAGTTATTTTTAGATTCAGGAAAGCTCTCATTAAAATGTAATTAGCTCCATTGGGGTTAATGAAGACATAATTTTACAAATTAATTTGCTGTAATGTACATCAACCTTTGCTCTTTAATATTAATGGCTTTTATTTAAAACTCTCTTTTTTTAAATGCAGAAGTCTTGTACCAAACAACAAGGTTCTCGTGTTGTCAAAGGTTGGTTCATGTATTTGTGCTGCTAATGTGTTTATTTCTGAAAAATACCATATTTTTGTCAGCAAGAGTTTTGACAAAGCGTTCTAAGTTCCTCTTCTTTTCTTCCACTTCACAGCTGCAGCTTTGAGGTCACCATATCTCAAAATTGAAGACTTGAGCAGGTGAGTTTCATCTCATTCAATGCAGTTTGATTTTTTTCTCTAGCAGGTGAGGAAGAATATTCATCCTTAATCTTCTGCTTTTGACTCTAGTTAACCAAGAAGGATTGAATAGAATTCAGGCCAAAAGGAAATTATATTTTAAGCTTGCACAGCTTCATGACATAGTTGTTTAGTTATCAGATCCTTTTCTGACAGTGGGTGATGGTGACCTTTCTGTATTTTTGTCTTTCCTACCCCACTGGGTGCTAAAGCTCTGTAGGCTTGCATTTCAGCCCAGATTAATTTCTTAATTGAACCTGTTAAGGAGTCCCATCGTGTAATGTGACAAGCCCCCACAGTGATGCCGCTCCCCAGGAGCCCAGAGCAAAAGCAGACTGGATAAACTTTTGTGAGCTCCACTGCCTGTTCCTGCAGGGGATGTCTATGTTAATAGATCTTTTCATTTGCCCTCTTATTTCAATTAATTGAAGTGCACTGACTAATGCATGGACCACCTCTATGAGAAACTGTATCCATGACATGTGTAACAGAGTAACCTACTGTAGCTGGGGTCAATGTGTAATCCCACACGAACTTCGGCAGAGTTGTTTCAAACATCTTCTATTTGAATAGCCGTAATATTCTTCATTTTGCATCCAGGTTTTTAGCATCACTGCATTGTATTTAGTTTTTGCTTCATGTAAAATAATACCAGTACAAAGCTCTCTTCTGTTGTTTTGTCATATAAACAGGAAATACAGACCCTTGCATATACAGTCTATGACCTTCCCATCCCTGTGCTACTCGGGCAGATATAGTCCCTTTGAAACTCCTCCTCCTCCTCGGTTCGAAAAAAGGAGGAAGGAGAAGAAAAATAAAACAAGGTTTGTTATCTTACATCATTATTTAAATAATATGCCATTATATTGCTAAAACACAGTTTGGATTCAAGTTGATCTGGCTTTGATCGTTAAAAACGTACAGAAAATAAAATGCAGTCGGTTTAGAGAAGTTAACACTATAAACCAGTCTATCACAAAGGATTTATAATAATTGTGGTTTATTTTTTGTTAATTAGGGAGAAGAAAGAAGTTGAAAGCACTAGTCAGGATAAATCCCTGACTCCAATCAGTTGTAACCCTTCTCCTTGGCAGCCACGCAAAAAGGACGTGTCTTACTGTGAATGCTGCCAGCAACCCTTCACTAATCTGCAGGAGGTATATACAAATGACTTTCTCTTGTTGACACTTCACTGATTTTTTTTTTTGTTTTGTTTTACATCTGTTAGACAGTCTTTGAAATGCTGTCTTTTGGTCCTTGCAGCATTTACAGTCCGAACAGCATCGGACATTTGTGCTGGATCCCTCCAACTACAGTGTGGTGGATAAACTTGTGGCTGACATGCTTCCAGGGTTCAACCCCAGTCCATCTGAACTATCAGAGGAAACACTGAACAGGTGAGTTTGGATAATTGTTATATTATGGCATAGTGCTAATATTGTGAATGTTTTGTCATTTTTATCAGCCCACAATGGGTTTTCTGTTTTAAATGGAGAGTTTAGTGTTGACTATGTCTTCCTCCTAGACCACCAACTACTTCTTTGCCCATCCACGATGTCTGTGAACTTGAGCCTCTATCTGATGTGGAGACAGAACGTGCTGTCCAGGCTCTGCAGCGACAAGGTTCATCATTCAGTATTTGCATCTCCAGCCCTACTAGGGCTCCTCTTTCCTTTGGCCCTGCTGGTCCATCACCAGGAAGTCAGTTTCCCATCCCAAATCCAGACACTCTACGTGGTGACATCCAGTCTTTCAGTCCTACAGAGTGCCAGTTCCCTGTTATACAACCTCACACTCCAAGCCCAGCCATATTGGATGTCAAACCACAAGCTCATGACCTGGCCAGCCAGCAACCTGATTTTCCACATCTCTCCCCCTGCCCTCAGACCCCACCTCCTGCCCCTGATCCTTACTCATTGCCTCCGCTCCTCAGCCCACAAGCCCCTTATTCCTCCATTATGGAACCACACAACCTATACTCAGAGCCCCCTGTCCTTAGTCCTCAACAGTACATAGTAGAGGAGGCTGTAGAAGGTGTTATTTGTGAAATGGACAGTGCAGAGTGTTTGTCCAAATCCGTCTCAGCTGTCACACTTCCTGTCTCCACCACACTTCTTCCCTCTGTGGCTGTGACAAATGCAGAAGGAGTGAAGGGATCAAACCAAGATGGTCTTTTCTTATTGAGTGGGTTTGTATGTTCAAGCAGTGGTTTGGACTGTGATAAACTGGCTTCATGTAGATCTCGATCCCTCTCTCGACAGTCAGCTACAGCAGCAAACCGCAAAAAGCGCTGTCGATCGGCCAGCCCTGAATGTAGCTTGAGCAAAACGAGGAGGGTTACAGCGACATTTGACTACAGCTCTAGATGGACTGAACTATATCATACATCTGCAAATCCAGAAAGGGACATTATGGCAAAACCTGAAGGCTGTTTGTTATTTGACCAGACCTCTTGTCAGATGATACAATCTTGTCCTAACCCAAATGTCTCGTCAATGTCCAGCTTGTGCGCTGTGGAAACTGTTGGTTTAAAAGAGACTTCTACCACATTTTGTGCTCCCGCTGTACAGAATCTCACTCAGGCACCAAATCAAATTGACATTTTATGCCATGATAGCACCTCAGTTGCACATCAGCCCTCATGGCCGCTCTCCTCAAAGACAAAGTTTTTTGATCCTCCACTTCAGTTTTCCAGTGATAAACCTCAAAACTGTCCAAGTTCACTATCCCAGTCTACCTCAGTGTGCATTGAGTCTACCCTTATCCCAGACTTAGCCACACTCTCTCCATCATCATCAGACTCTGACTGGGACTGTGACCTGCTGTCACGTCTGGGTCCCACTTTGGCTACGTCTCTGCCGCCCACTGAGCAGAGCTGTGAGCTTGACAAGGACCTCCTCCAAAGGCCGTGCACCTGGATGCATGACACCAGCTACGAATCACATCTGCACACTGCTCTTCATATGTCAACCCCAACAGCTTCATTGTGTGGGGAAGAAACAGACCCTTCAGCATTTTCAAGGACATTGGTACAGATTGTCAAGGTTCAACACTGATCATTATTTGTTTTGATCAACTGGAAGCTGTGCTATGTCTTTAACTTAGCGGCTGTGTGCCCCACCTCCTTAACTAAAGGCAGCACTTAAGCTCATCAAAACAAGTCAATGAATTTAACATTGAATACGTATTTTGAATTTAGTGCAAACTAGATTGTAATATTCAGCTGTTTTTAGGAATGCTTGTTTTTACTTTTTAGCGTAGCTCAGTTGATGCATAGCGGATGCTGCAACTTTCCATAAATTTAATGGCATCCATTATTATTTTTCTTGCTTGTGCACAGAACCCAAAGTAATATTCTTTATGTCGTGCTGACTGCGGACTTTCAGCAGCCATGTCCGGGAACACATGGTGGTATTGAGAATTTAATGAGGCTTATCTGAAAGGGGCATTACTCAATTGCTGAAAGTGCTGCATCTGGATCAGATCCCACGTGCACCTACGTTGATGGTCAAACAAAATGAGGCGTTAGAGTGGAGGACTATAGCCTATAAGACGAACCAAGTAATGTCAAATAGCTTTTCCGGCCTTTTGAACTGGCCAAAGGACTGGCTTTGAGACGAGTGTGCCTTTTGAAGGTGGGCCAAAGGACTGGCTTTGAGACGAGTGCTTCACAGTAGTCTGCTGCCACTCATCTCTGCTTGTCAGATTTTGAAGTCTTAGGTCATTGCTCACCATAGCAGACAAAACTCAAAACACCTTGATGTCAAAAAACAGCATCCCCTGAATGTCCTATGGGGATATTTGCACCTAGTGTCTCAATTCAAAGATGCAGCTAAGCACACGACAGGAGACTAACTACATATCTGACCTTTATTTTTGGTCACGTCAGGGATGGAAACCATGTTTGGACTCAGAAAACACAGATCAGGTCATTTTATTTGCCCCAGGCAGCCCTGAATGTAACAAGTGATGCCAACTCGACATGATTTCATTATGTGGATAAGAAAAGTGTGAAACTAATTCTTGTACAGTGTTTTTAAATAAATTTCTAACCATCAGAAATTCCATCTGACAGTGTTTGGAAAAGTTGTGGCAAAGTTAAACTGTGGGAGTGTGCCGAAGGTGTTTTTTCTGTTGCTGGCTCTGCTTATAGGCTTAGAGAGGAGCAAAACGGGAGGCCAAGTATGAAGCAAGGGCATCAGTGGGTCGATGTGTGCTGCTTCCAGCTGACACAAAGAATATTTGCAATCTAATCTCCATGTACTGTTATGTAACCCTTAACTATCCAGATATGCTGGCATGAAGGGATCCTTTGTAGGGCTGACCCTGGCCAAAACCAGCTTGTCTCCAAAGACAGGAGAACAAATCTACCCTGTCACTGGAGAGATGTTTTTGTTGGACTGTAGCAGTTGTATCTTGTGAGGGAGTAATTTCCCTCTGGGAACTGTGGGGGTTCAGTTTCAGCTCCCAGTTGGAAATTACACGTTTGTATCAGAGATACAAAGCTGAAAATTGCAAATACTCTGGTCAAGGTACCTGGCATGTCCATCCACAGACTTCCATTTGACAAGATTTGCAGTCTGTGTTGATGGATCATAATTGGCGGTCATGTTTAATTAGGTTATTTATACGGTATATTTAAATTCAGTAAAATCTAAAATAATAAAATGTGTTTCCAAAGGCTCTAATGGCAGCAGGGAACTACAACTAATTTACCTCAACAAATGGAGTTGCCAAGTTGATTTGGAATTGTAGATGCTATAGTGTCCATTTCCTGGCACACTTTGAGGATGTCTTGTCCATGTTGTTTTAAAAATTGGGATTAAATGTTCAGTCTTGGCATTGATCAAAGCTGCTGACCAGACGGTGTGTTTGTCAGCTGCAGACAATGTCAAGAATGAACTTTCAGTTTCAACATGAAGGTACATCAGATAGAAGAAACACAAGATATTAGAAATATCAGACATTCAGTGCAAAGTGAGTTCTTGCCTATAATCCCAGAATTGTAGAACAACGTAGTATAATTCTGCAATTACAATTGGGGATTGGGAAAAATGTGGGATAAACCTTAAACTTGGGCAACTGTGGCCTCAGCTAGTGTGTCCTGTGTGGAGATGATCTGGGGTGCTTTGCAGGAAGGCACTGCATAAATGCAGCTATTTTTAAATGACCACTCTGGTTGATTGATGGGATACTAAGTAAAACAAAACAATCAAAAAGAATTGTTTAACAGTGATCTTCAGTCTTTATCCCAATCATTTTGTGACCCTGAAATTTTGAAATTTAATGCTTTAGAGCATCGAGATGCTGGCTAATGCTGAAAGACAGTATTTGAGGTGTTAGTTTATTGAACCAGGTGTTTACTCGGGGCTCCGGGGCTCGTCAGGAGCGTGGGTTGTCCCCTCAAGCCCCACGTGCTCCGTGTTTGCAGGTTCTTACGCAACCTCACTGTTTTCAAGCAGGACTAGTAAGGCCGATGCGTGCGTGAGAGGTCTTCGGGTCTTTGTGACACTGACACAAACCATCCCGCTGGAGCCAGGCGGAGGAACATCGTCCAGGGTGCTTTTCACTTGCTAGAGGCGGAACGGGAGTTGAGAAATCCGGGCCCCGCTGCTGTGTTCGTCTCCACCGTCAACCGCAGCCCTTCCGCAGCTGCGCTCACGGCTCCAGTCAGTTCATTTAACGGCGCCACACGAAGAAATCGCTGGGACTATGTGAGAAACATGCTGGCTGTGAGGTGCCTGCTGTTCGCTGCAGCGTGTGCACGGTGCGCCGTGACAGGTAAGACGTGTGTTTTACCTTAGGATTTAGTTTCCAACGTAACTAATGGTCAGTGATAAAACAAATAGGCGACAGTGTTTCCGTCACTTATTGCATCCACTCACCCTTCGCTCTCTCATAACAAGGACAGTGTAGTTGTTTCAGTGTCAACAAGCAGCAGCTGTTGAATCTGCCGTACATTTAAACAGCAGCATTCAGGTCCGTGCACCCTCGGTTTTCTCACTTTATCTCATCCTGCGTGTGCATTGATCCGTTTCCCGTGTCTTCTGCAGGTCTGGAGGAATGGGTGAGTCTGGAAGGAAGACTACCGTCTGCAAAAGTGGTCGTTCAGCCCAAGCGGCTCCTGCAGCAGATCCATTCCCCGGAGGAGCTGCTCCACAGCCGCCTGGACACCCGGGTCAAAAACTACACAGCGGGGGTGCAGGTGAGTGTTGGTGGCACCTGTAGCTGATGTCGATGCATCTTCCACCAGAGCTGAACATACTGCTAATTGTTGAGGCCAAACTGACTATATTTTGGGGAGTACACGGGTGTGAGTCATGCTTAGTGAATGCAGAGGGCTGACTGCAAGAGTGGACCTTGATTTAAGCACAGCTCAAAGCAGGTGGAGTCGCCATCCAACTTTCTCCCATCTGTTACACTTAAAATCTGTTTTACATGGAAGGAGCTGAAATAATTAGACACATGTAAATGATGAATGACTTGAGGATACTGATGTAAAGATGTATAACACTTTTTACTTGGCAGTAGTTCCATTGTAAGTTTGGTAAATAGTTTGTTTGCCCTTAAATCACCTTACTTTTTGAAAAACATTTAAATAGATTTTACTGCATCCATAAAGATAAACACTGCATAGGTAGGTAGTGTATGCTGTATGTTCCCACAATGTACAGCATGCCCCTGTGTTTCCGATACCATTTCCCCAGTCAATCTGAGAGATTGCAATAAAAAATACACAGAGAAATACAGGTGATTTCTAACTTTCACCAGCTCTCTGTCAGGCCCTGGTTCACCTCTGTTTGTCCTTTTGGTTATCACTCCTATTCCCTGCCCAGCTTGCTCAGAAAGAAACTCATCTTCAGCTGGCTGCTCCTTTCCACCCTGTTAGATTATATTTCACATTTCTACTTGTCCTCTCTTATTACCTTTGCTACGCTGACCTTGAGCTGCCCTCTGTGGTCAGCATGCCGTCTCGTGATTCTGGAGACTGTAGGAGTCTTGTGGAAGATGTGTGCTGTTGTTTCCTCAGAGTCACTGTACTACCTCTAAAAGAAAATTAGTGTTTACATGGGAGGATTATCTTTTGTGTGAATTCAACATGGAAAGGGTTTAAAAAGGTGACTGCAGACTGAATAACAGCCTAATCAGTGCCAACTGTAAATCACTTCACTTTTTCCTTTTTTTAAATAACTGAACACTCATTTGGACCAAATGGACATTTTGCAACCACACACAGACTGAATTTGAAACGTGCATGGGCAGTATAGGTTTTGCTGGATTCATTAAAGTCTGCGCTTGTCTCTAGACTTAAAGCTGCTGTAAGAGTTACTTTTACATGTACATGTATTGTGAAGGCTGTTACTTGTAGTGAGAAAACCACAGGTGATTTTCACCTCACTTTGTAGTTCTCCTCAGCATTTCAGTGTCTTTCAGCTCATTGTTTTGATTTTATGATTTGCAGCTTTTGCCACTTGGATTCTCACTGCTCTCATCAGGCTTGTTTTTAGCAAGAGGCAGCTGCTTTATAGGGAAAAGGCTCTGGTAAACTAACAGTACACTACCTGGCCAGCGCCAAAGGGGCATGACCACTAAAATTAGTGACTGATAGAGTTTCTCTGGATTCTGTCAGAGGTTTTCTACTAACTGTGGCCCAGGGACCTCCACTGTAACTAAGAAGCAATCTGAGGACCACTTTTGTGGAGTGGATATTCCAGATGGGCACTATTTTATTGCTGAAAGTCATGTTGACATTTTTTTATGTTATATATTTGCCTGAATTTGAATATTCACAGACGATTTAATATTGTATGTTTAATTACATACATAGAAATGTGTTTACAAAATAAGATTTACAACAGGATTCCAACAGTGAAAGCACATCACTGAATGCATGGTTGGGGACCACCTGCAGTACCTTCACGGACCACCAGGGGGCCGCAGACCTCTGGTTGAAAACCCCTTGACTATATGATTAGGTGTACTGAGCTGAGAAACTGATAGTCTGACAAAATTTTAATGTTTGGGATTTGATATTAAAATATAGAGTAAGATTCTTTGCAGTCATTACTCTCATGCAACTTTCTTGTCAGTGCTCAGAGGTACCACTTTGGGCTCCACATTCTATAGTATATGCCCCAGTGGAGGCTTAGATTGGTGCTAAGTGGTTTACAGAAAGTGCATAGTAATGTTGTTGAGATATGCTTTGCAGCTGGCCATCTCAGTTAGTACTGATGGGAGCCCGCGGTGAGCTCTGTCTTTGTGTTGCGTATGGGGTTATCCTTGTATCAAGGTCACACAGTCACCAACACTGTCATCCAGAAGCCTCTCAGATGGATGTCTACCTTGTTTTCAGGGAGAGACCGCTGACGGTGGATGTCCCTTATTATCCGAGTCTTTGTTGCATTGTTCTCTATTCATGCTGTTAAATTATTTTATATTGAACATCTGTCAGTCTTCTTCCCTCCTCCATTTTTTTCTGCACACTTCTGTCACATTTTCCCACACAATTTTATTCAGTTTCCTCAGGGCATGAAGTACTTGACAAGCTTGAATTAGCGATGCATGATTTATTGAACTAAAAGGAAGATTTAGACATTCAGATACTTTTTTCCTTGGTTTCTGTTCTGCTGCATATCACTGGAAATATTCATGTTTGTTTATCCACCACTATATTGAATCTTTGCCCTTACTGCAGACAGAGACATGAGACTGAAACCAGGAACCGTAGCATAAAAATTAATGCATGACCTTGGCTTAGAGATGGAGCCATTTTCCACATTGTAATTCGACTACTGATACCTCTGTATACTGTGTACATGCAGGACTGAACCCTTTTCTGTTGCTTTTCCAGTGGGTTTTTCCTTTGTTTCCCAGTTACATGTTTGTTTGTTTTTTTCTTTCCCTTGTCTGAATGAAGAGATTGTGTAGCGGGTGTTTGTTTTACCGAAGCCACTGAGACAAACAAAGTTACGAATACATAAGAATACAGGATACTAGTCATCTGGTTCAACATTCACACAAAGGCAGGAAAATCTTTACGAACATGCTGACACAATAAACGGTCTGGTGTCACAACCACACAAATGCCTGTATACCATGACTACAAAGCCACAGCCACTAAACTACAAAGCATCAGCTAATAAACTTTAAAAGGGGGCTACCATAAAATTCTCACTACAGTTATGAAGTTTGTTCATTCTGTGAAAATTGAAAAATGAAACACGAAAAAGCATCATTTTAAACATTTGCTGCAGCTAAACATTGTTCAGAATCACAGAAGATGTGGTATATGTGCAAACTAGAATTTAAAACAATGAGTAGAATTTTTTTGGAAAAAGTATAAAATCATGCAGAAGACATTGAGAATATTTGTCTGATTTGATGTACAGTAATCATAAAAACATGGTGCATTAGGTTTTATGTTGGTCAGCATTAACATTATGTAGGTTCTTTAAGGAGCTGGAACAAAATGATAGTGTAAAAATGGAATAAGACAAAGGATGGACATAATCATCAGGATTCCAATTTTTTTTTCTTACTAGTTTAATCAGTTTCTCTTTTTTCTTTTCTATTATGCCATCACCTCTCAACTTCTCCCCCATCCCTCTCTCAGCCAGTCCATCTGTCCCAGAGCAGCTTCCTGGTGGAGGCCTTCGGCTCCTCCTTCATCCTTGATCTGGAGCTCAACCAGTAGGTCCACACATGCCTGCAGAGCAGTTACACAGCCACACCACACACCCACCAAACAATATTTTAATGGTTACAACAAAATCGCCCCTCCTGCAAAGGAATAAATACAGCATTAAATAAGAAGACTGTCACAGAGTCAGTCATGGTTGGCCCTACAGTCAGAGTCTAGAGTCCACACACACTCACGACGGTAGCGCCATCATCCTTCCTAACCCAGTTAGGACTTCTCCCAGTTACACATCCTCCTATTGCTTAAGCCAGAGTCACAGTCTTTCACCAGCTCTACACCCCTTCTTCCAAGAAGTGTCTGAGATGTCCAGTACATGAACTTCTAGGTTGAGTTGACCTAACACCCATTTCCTTTTCTAAGCATGAGCAGAGCACACGAACAGTTCACATAAGGCTGAAGTTATGTACAACTTCAAGCTTCCCATTTAAGGAAGGCTTCTGTCTGGATGTTTACCCATAAATTAAACAAGGAGGACACAAGCCAAGATATTCCTGCTTGAACAAGCTATCAGTAGATTGTACATGAGGATCCTTGGGAACTAACATCCTCAAACATTTCTCTCCAAGCTTTTATAAATGCTTAGCTCACTACACACTATTCTATTACATATTGCCTCTGGACTGGTACCTTGTTTGTTTTTGACCACTACACTGCAATCTAGAGTAATGGCATATGATGATATTACAGAAGTATTGAGTTCAGGCTGAAACTAAACTAAATCCTTCTCTCCAGCAATCTCCTGTCCACGGACTATGTGGAACGTCACTATGACAACGATGGACAGCTGTCACAGAATATGGTAGGACTGCTTTATAGAAATAGTTTGACCATTTCAGAAGATGTATTGTTTTCTAGTGTCAGTGAACTTTAGCAGTGCCTCTAAGCAGCTTTTGTACCTTCAAACAGAGCCAGGCTAGCTGTTTCCAGTCTTTATGCAGAGCTAAGCTGATTGGTTGCTTGTTGTAGCATCATATTTACCATCCAGAGAAGTGATAATGATTTTCTCATCCAGCTCACAACAACAAAACAGTAGTGTATTTCCCAAAATGTTGACCTATTGACAAGCTGTTGCCATATATTGGCATCCTCATTCCTACAGAACTGAATAAGCTTGTTATCCATCCTGGTGAGTTTAATGGAAGTGTTTCTGAGGGCTTTATTCCGCCTGAGTGAAACTGAACACAGTCTATAAACAAGTGGCAGCAGCGTTTGTTTTTCTTGTCCTTCAGGCATAAATTCAGTATGACTGACTAGATGCTAGTGTGAATGGCTTTGAAGATGTTTTGCCTCCGGTGTGTATTAGCTGATTGTTATAGCTTGTTTTGCTGCATACTCGTCAGTTCACATCATCCTTAATCTGTGGAAATGTAGCCAAAATTTAGGTGTGTGCAAACCGCCCTATAGCAGTGTTATGAGTCTAGTTTGTTTACTGAGACAGGAACAGTAGTTAATGCAGACAGCTTGACGTTCAACACCATATGGTTGAAAGCCTTTCTCCGTCTGTATCCTCTGCTTTGTCTCCTTCACTTTCCTTTTCTCTGCCAAAGACCACCTGACCAATCGCTAGATAGTTGCCATGGCTGCCAGCAGTCAGCAGCAGCTTGTGTCATGAGGGGAATTCAAATTATGCCCATTCCCACACACGAACATCTTACAACCTCGCTCTTCTTCTTGGAGTCGGGTGTGTAAAATTGGCACGAGTTACTGAGCTTGAAGTTTATTTGCACAGGTTAAAATCTGATTAATAGGAAAAAGAGTATTGGTTGCCTGGGCAAGAACACAGCAGCAGATTTATTCTCTACCTGGTATAAACTATTACAATGGTAAATATATTTAGATTTTGTAGTAAAAACCTAAAAATAGGCACAAGTTAGGCTTAGTTAATAACTGGTGGGGTTAATATTGGAGTACAGCTCATAAAGTCAGTGGAAGGGAAGTGTTAAAGGGGAAATCAAAAGTTATTGTCACTTTCTTTAGAAATCTTGAATTGAAATAGTCTTTGTGCCTGAATGGCTGTTCATCCACCTTTTTATATTCAAACACATGTATCTATAGAGAAATAACATGGTAGAATGCACAGAGGGATGTTTCCTATGCAGCCACTCTTCCCACCACCTTTCTCTCATATTATTTGGTTTTATTGATGTGCTAATAAATTCCTACTGCCATTGTGTGTCACTGGTTAATCAGGATTTCTTATACAACATGGCTTTTTACATGTGGTTGCATGCGTGAGTGGCCATTATTCGAAGTGCATGCATCTCCTCTGAAAAGCACAGTCAGTTTGTGTCTGCTGTGTCAGGCAATTTGATTTCCTCCATTTAGCCTTGTAATCCTGCCTTTTATTTATTCATCATCCTGCCCCAGGCTAAGTGCTGTGGACTCTCTCTCCATTCACTGTGAATGATGAAAGTTCTTCTCACCCTTAACGGATGAACTGATGCTGAATTTAAATAAGTTTTATAGAGGTACTAGGACTTAATCTGGTTGTTATTTTGCACGTTGTTCCACAGCTTTGAATTTAATAGAAATTAAATATTTTCATACAGCTACTCTTAGGAACATGCCGTCTTTCCACTGACTTTTTTTTTTTGTTGTTGTTGTTGTTACAACTTTATTTTGCGAGAAATAATTAATGTGAACTAATGTTATCTTTCTCTGTTGGATGAAGATGCTGTACTTGACAGACAACCAGGTCACCCAGTGATGTTCCATCAACAAAGGCCTGTCTGATTATGTGAGAGGCTTCACCCTATACGATTTAGTCAACCTTAGCTGAAATCTTAGAAATACTCTCGCTGTTAGCCCAGTGATCAGGTCACCTAATGACTGAAATACAACCCTTATTTCATTTCAGCGTAGCAAAGAAGTTGAAAGACTGATGAGAAATAATGTTTTACATGCCCTTATTTTGACTTGAGTGGTTTCTCAGCTCGGAGTAAAGGTTGATAAAGCATGACGAACAGCAGGTCCTGATCGCTGCTTTTCTCTTTGGTCTGTCGGCCATGCTAGACAACAACAAGCTCAGGTGGCAGACATGACTTTCTGGAGTTCATTACAAACACCTGAAACTGACCCTCGCTCTCACACACACACACACACATTTACATGCACACACTCTGTAGGTAGATGTAAACAAAGACACCTGATTGTAATCTCCATCCACTTAAATGAGACCTGTTTGATTATTGAAAATTCTCACAAGTGTAATTATTAATTGTGTGACTGTCCACCATGCACTTTATTTTCTGCCCCATGACTTTTGTTAGCTCTCACAATTAAACACGCGCTTGATTGACAGCGGAGAGTCTCCTTTCCAGTTGTCGTAATCTGATCATGCCTGTGCTATGAGTGGCAGCGTGGAAACACTGGGTTTAAAACTTGATCATCCACTCGGAGCCTTTCAAGGGATTATGAATAATCAGGTGAAGGTATCTAGAAGAGGGGTTTACAGATAATACTCTACGGCACTTCCTCTAGTTTCACCAAAGTATCAGGTGACACTGGTTCACACACTGAGACAGTTTATTTTATCCTGTGTCCAAGGGGGACCTCACCAATTTTACACTCCACAGTCCATTTACTAGCCAAGCGTTTAGTTCAGCCTCTGTCTTCTGGAACTTTTGGAGGAGCTTTCTAAAATCTGAGACACTTGGAGACACTCTGCTACTAACAGAAAAGTTGAGCTACAAACTGAAGGCATGAGGTTTTGAAGATGTGGGCGTGAACCAGGCATAAGTGATGCTATCAAGTTACGTTATGGGACGTATAGGATTTAGTAACTGAATAGCCTGCTGTGTATCTGCTTCTGCTGTATCAGTTTTGACTATCTTCTTTTAAATCTGTCTCTGAAGTGTATGTACGTGCATGGCTAAAAATGAACTTGCACAGAGACGAGGAGACTGTACACTGTAACCTTGACGTGGGTTATTTTCTATTTTTTTGATTTTGTTCTGCAGAAAACTGAAATTGCCATCATGTAGGGTGTTGGTAAATTCACTCATTAGATCTTAATGATGAATTTGTCTTGTTTTTACAATATCATGGTTAATGCATATACAAAACTGACTTTATTAGGTCACTTGTGTGAAGATGAGATCCGAATTTAATTAACATTGTACTGTAGGTTCATATACACTTTACAGTGAACCCAGAGTCTGTCACTCTCATTTGACCCTTGATCTTTTAGCCACACACAGCTTTTTCTTGCTGGAACTCAACTCATTTGGTACCTCTGCAGGTAATGGTTTTCCAGCAGTCGTGTCCTAGTCACTGATGTCCTTCAGGGGACTCACCTGGATGGCTGTCGTCCCTTGTCTGACAGTAAATACTTGCTCTTTAGAATACAGGACATGGTGACAGTGAAGTGTTCGCAGTCCGTGCGCCTGCTCTGTGTGGATTTAGAATACAGGACATAGTGACAGTGAAGTGTTCGCAGTCCGTGCTGGTTTCGTTTTCTGGAATCTGATGTAAACAAGTTACTGGATGTCAGTGCTCACTGTAATCTACGGTTTGTTCCCAGGGAGGAGAGCACTGCTACTACCACGGGTGTGTGCGGGGGCTGCCAGGCTCCTGGGCTGCTCTTTCCACCTGCCATGGCCTACAGTGAGTCAAATTCTTTGACTAAAGGTTGGCACTTCATCTGAAAGCTAGACCCGGTCAGGGCCCAAAGCTTTGTGAGTTGAAAGTTTGAAGACTTGATGCACATTTGCCCAGAGCTTCCAAAGCTTATGGCAATAAAATAAATTTAGAAACTCATTGCTGATTCTCTGAAAAGTCTTCAACAAGGAAATCAGTTGTTTCCTGTTTCAGTTTATTGAAAATTAAGCAGAGGAAAAAAACATTTGAATCAATTGGCCAACTTTTTAGAAAGTATGCTAATATGCCCTGGTCAATATGTAGCCAGAGCCGGCAGCTACTTTGCTTGGCCTCTCTTAGCGTAAAATATGGACGTATATCCTTGCCAAAATGTTTGTGGGTGCATAACTCTTGTTTGAAGGGCTGCTCAGTTTTTGAGGACACACAGGCATAGTGTGCAGAACCAGATTTGAGAGTGACGGGGGACAGAAGCAGGTGATTTGAGCGAGCAGCAGGGATCCTCTCAAATGTGATTCTGCTCTTACAAATCTGTGCCTGCATGCTCTCACATTTTGGTTCGCAAACTGAATAGTGCTTGAAACTTATTTTGTGCACTTTCAACATTTTTGGTATCAACATACTTTGATGTGGAATAATCTGAGAGGGTAGACTCTGAAATAAGAGCACCCATAGTTGGGTGTACTCTCTCAAATCTGATTTGTGTTTACCAAGATGTACCTGAGTGCTCTCACATTTTGATTCACAGACTTTGTTTTGCTCAATATGATTTGTGCGATTTAAGTGTTCTGGGAGCAGATACAGTATACTCCCATAATAGAGACCACAATCTGGTGGAAGTAGCTACTTCCAAAGGTAACAATCTGCCTACCAGCACCTAAAATACTAAATGCGATAGATACAACTGGCAGCTAAGGATTTCCTAAAAGCCATTCATCCCTCCCAGCTCCAGGACTCTCAGGATAATAAGTCAAACTGTTGTGGCTTCCAGATGTTTTTATTGTAACTTAGCTCTGTTTTGTATTTTCAGGGGGATGTTTTCTGATGGGAACTTCTCATATGGGATTGAACCTGTTGGCAGTGAGGAGGTGAGGCAAGACTTCAGTGAGATGGATCAACTAGGCTGATGAATAAACACATGGGTTTCTATTTTCTCGGCATCTTACCAAGGCAGCAACAAAGTCAAATAAAAAAAAAAAAACTAACAAAAATCCTTCAAACTTATCAAAATCTGATAGAAGTCTTTACAGTGAAGTTGCCCATAGTGTCGTGTATCTACATTGAGCGCCATCAATCTAGACAGTGTTACTCTATCTCTGAGCTGTTGAATGGAAAGTATTGAGCTGATACACAAGCCACCACCACTGAAGCACATTTCCTGTCTCATAGCTGAGGGAGATGTAATCTGATACAAACAGAGAGGAAATTTAAAACAATCAACACAAAACATTTAAGAGGTTTTCTAAATCTTCCAGAAATATTCAGATTTATTTTATGGAATGTGTGTTATTAAAAAGAAATGGACATGACAGGGTGGCCCAAGGGATTGTGAACAAAGCGCTTGGGCTGGAAGAGGCTGAGCTTCCTTTCCCATTAAGACCCACAGTAATCGAAGTGCAGCTCAATTACACATAGACTGGATTGATGGATCGGTATCCTGCCAGCTCGTTTTCAAACTCCCCCACTCTTTCTCTCTCCTTGGCTCTCTATCTCAGATGGGTCATTTTCATAAACTATTTATCCTTGGCTCAAGTATACCACAGTGTCCAGTAGTGCTATTGCCATTATGACAGCCCAACAATTGATTAATTATGCATCAGAGCACTTTTCTCCTCGTTGAGCCATCTTTACCTCAACAGACAGCACTTTCCTCCCACAGAAAAAGCTTTTAAATTTAGGTTGAGAATCATTTGCAGTCTTGTTTTTCTTGTTCATTTTTTCAAACTCCTTTTGGTGTTAATGAATTCTAAGGTTATAACCGTGACTTGTTCAAATCTGCGCCCTTTCACATGAATAAATTCTTCAGTTTTGCTTCTGTTGGTCAAAGCCTGATTCACCGAGAGCAGTGTCGGATTTTATCCCTCGTAAAAACAGTGTCCTAGTTCCTCATCTGCTGCTGTCTGACCTAGAGTTTATTTTAAAGAGTTGAGGTAAAATTGAACTTTTTCCACTTATGTCTTGGTCGTGGAATGGTGAACAAACAAAAAGGAATTTTCAGAATTGAAGTGTTCTCCATCCTGTCTCTCTGTGTTTGTCACTGTTTTGTCTGATGCTTTTCAGGAGCAGAAAGACCACATCCTGTATCGTATGCCGGACATTGACCTGTTCCCACTTCCCTGTCCAGGTAGGAGCACCGTCAAGCTTGCAGGGAAGGTCTACACAGAGATTTCTTAGTCAACATAATGGACCATATCTGAACTTTGGGAATTTTTTTTCCCACCCTTCTTGATGCAATGAATAAGTTTTGATGAATACAAAATCCCTGCATGGTCACACAGATTTATAAATTGTATGTCTGAGTGACACACAGCCTGCTGTACATACCCAGCTATAAAACAAATGATAGGCTTTTATGACAAATCATTTTGATTACATTTTGTAAAATGAGGCATATTGGGTCTGTTTTGCTGTTAAAAAGAAGGCTAAACAATCAGATGTAATGGACGTGTGTTTTTCGGTTGCATTTCTCTTATGCAGCAAACTGTGTCTCACTAAATGTTTCACTTGTCTCTACTTTTTCAGTGCCTCACCCCTCTCTTCCCCTATCTACCTTGTTACACTCTCCCCTTTGCTGCTCTCTCCTCTGTTGGCTGTGAGATAATTGATTTCTCATGCAAAGGAGTAGACTGAAATACATGATTACAGCCACCCCTGGACTGATGGGTAGTCATCTTTTCTTTGGCTCTCACTTATGCTGTCTCGCTTCACACCGTCTCCATGTGTGTTCCAGGATGCTCGGTGAACAGCACAGAGAGGCAGACGGGCAGTCACAGCGAAGGAATGTTGAACGACAAAGATGGCAGGTCTGAAGAAGAGAAACCTGTCTTTACAAAAGGACTGAGACGCTCAAAAAGACAAGTCAGTTTTAATACAGCTTCTGTGCCTTTCTTTCTCCCAACAAACACGTGACCTGACACAGTGATGGAGACTGTCGGTCAGATGATGCTAAGGTTCTGCACATATCCCGATAGTTTTTCTCAGCTTCTGTGCTGATAAAAAAAGAATCCCAGGGTAACCAAGAAAGACGGATGTCTGGAGCTTTCTGATGACTAGTAAAGAATTAATTGAAAATTAAGTAACTTTCTCAATCTCCAACAGAGGTTTGCATTACAAGCTGAGGGTGTAAAGTTTAAAACATGCAGGTTTTACTCGGGGGAGAATATCAGAGGCCTTTAGAAGATAAAGATGGTAGCCATGGATGCCAGTCCAGATTGAAATATCAGTACTATTTGATGGATTGCCTAAAATTGGGTGCAGGCATTCATGCCTTCCTCCAGATGAGCTGTAATTCCTTTGCTGACCCCTCATCTTTTCCTGTAGCACCATCATCAGGTCAGAATTTCAGTGTGGCCAGTACTTGAGTTTCTGATCTAATACCCAAAAACAAATGAAATTTATGTATTTATTTTATGATACTAATGATAATTATCTTTAAGGATGTTTATTTCAAACCTTTGACATGTAAGGGCTTTAAAAACAGGTTTCTTTCTTGATAGACTCCAGAGTGTATCCCTTCAGATACACGTCGATATTCTGCTTAATGAATGAATGAGTGGTTGTTGCCTTCTCAAGAACAAAGATTAGAGTTTCACCAGCATCAGCAGGTGTGTGTGTTCTCGGTTTGCATAGTGACTTCTTCTGCTGGGCTTGTGTGTGTGCACTGTGTTTGTCTGTCCTGTGGGAAGGTTATTATGGCAGCAGTCTCAAAGTCTGACAGTATGGATTTCTTTTGCCCCCTCTAGGTGAGGCGAGGCCAGCGCACAGTCCAGACTGAGACTAAGTACATTGAACTCATGGTTGTCAATGACCACGAACTGGTAGGTGTAAAAATACTAATATCTACTTAGTGAAATATTCTAGGAAACAAGCAGAATATACAGTAGTTTGGCTGTTAAATTACTTTTCATGCAGACCTAAAGTGTGCAATGTATTTGTGTAAGCTAAGAATGATGCTCCTCACTACAGAAATACTTCAACCTGGATTCAAACAAACATCAGATAATAAAAGTATACATAATCTGTTCTATATCATATCCTCAGCATGCTAAAAGAGAGGATAAGACCTAACCAGGACTAGTGTTCATTTAAAGCCATCATAACAGACAGATGCTGCTGATGATGTGACACAAAACAGAAGTTGAGTTTTGGCCAAAATATCTTTCTCTGCAACTGTAGCATGACAGCAGTAAGAAAACGTGAGTGTGACTCTTAGTGAAATTAGGACTCAATCAGCTTGTGCTTTGTCACTACCTGTGTTTAGCATAGAAAAGGATGATGGGCAGTAACGGCGTCTCTGCTCGCCCCCTTACAGTTTGTCCAGCTCCGTCGGTCGACCACGCAGACGAAGAACTTTGCCAAAGCAGTAGTGAACATGGCCGATGCAGTGAGTGGTTTTAAATTATTATGAAAGTATATTGTTGAGGGGTTGAATACGTTTCCTCTTTCTGTCATCTGTTTTCCTATGGCACAGACTGAGCTTACGCATGACTGTTGCTACTATTCATAGAAAATAATTTCCTGCAGATGAAACGTTCCTGACTGGGATGGTGTTACTGTCTGGCACTTCTCTTTTTTTGTTTTTAGCCACCAAAGGTTTGGTCTCAGAGTGTTTTCCAAATTGGGATGTATCAAAATATTTTGTCTATTTTCTGCCATAAATCTTTCAGGTATGGAAAGTTTTATTGGTCTCATCTCTTGAATTTTTCATCCAGATTCTCATCTACTCATTTTTAACAGGGTCTTTGAATATGAATGAGTGTGTGTGTGTGTGTG